AAAAAAAAAAAAACCGTTCAATACGATATAGTTGAGAAACGTTCAAATTTTTATTAGAATCCAAGTCACTTTGCCGTCATGGCGTTGCTGGGTGACTATCGCTGGCCCGAGAAACTGTAGTAACTTCTAGAACGGTGTGTATAATGAATTTATTTTTTGCTGACTGAAAAATGTGTGCATAACAGCTTTAATGAAATTTCTTTCTGTCCCATTCTGTTACACGCCTTATCCACCTAATCGAGACACATTTCCACACAAACCGTATAAACGTGGAGAAAAATAAACAAAATACAAAATAATAATAAATAAAAACAAAAGTAAATTACTCAGTCTTTATTGCGTTTGGGTGCTCGCGCAATATCCATAACAACTATTATTAATAGGTAGGTATATGTATAATGTATATGTATCTGCAGTGTCGCACAAGTACCTACATTTTGTCCATTTTACCTACGACAAACGTCGCTTGTAGTTATAATAATATTATGTAGGTTTTAGGTACCATGTGTATATATAAATAAATATATATATATATATATAATATACATAAAAAGTAATATGCCAACGACCTAACCATCAGCTATATAATATATTATACTGTATAAATATATCCACTATAGGGTATCTATCTGGCACAAAACGAGAAAAAAATACCCCATGCTCAGGGGACGAAAATGCTGATTTGGGACACGGGGTGTATTCGAATTTTTTTTTGGAAACTGTCCAAAACGGTTTCACACGTTTTTATTTCGCTCTAGGGTGACATTATAAAGTACATATAATATTTATTTAAAGACTAAACTAATACAGTAATACCTACCCAGTGTACATGATGAATAATTTAACTTGAATGCCTGTAAATTAGCCTGTGTATTTACTTAATAAAAATTATTGTATATGTATGTGCTTCGAATAAAATAAATCCATAAATTAAAATGCTTTACCATTTTTTAAATTTATTTTTCACAATTATTTAACAAGAGTAATTTTTTTAAATTGTAGTTAAATCTAAATCCTTCAAAATGTTGGATGATTTTTAAATATAAAATTAATACAAAAATTAATCAAGTAAATTGGAAGAAGTTTAAAACTTATTATTACATTCAAATAATTGATGAGTATTTCTATAATTTAAATATMTCAACAATAAAATTTAAGTCCTTATAAAYAATGAACTATTGGTTCAAAATTGGAAATTCATTGAGAATACGTTGTTATATTTTCCCACCAAAAAGTATTGGCTACACTACTAATATGCATTTTTATGGATAAATGCACCTTATGCACCATACAAATCATTCTGCCCTTCACGCACTTACCCGTATAATCTGGACTTAAGAGCACCGATGGTCGGCGTGCTACACCATATGGTCTTTGGTAATTACTGTTGCTCTTGTCCGAATCGTCATCCAAGTCTACTTGACCATATACGTGTCCGTTGGCGTTCACCCGCACTGGTAGTTCCTGCGAAAATAATTTACGTATAGAGTTAATATTACCAAATAGCATCATATTATATACGTATACTTTAGTTGTATATAATTAGTACATCGTGTGAAGGTTACTATTATATGTACTAATGTACTATTATACGAGTCACGTTTCATTAATATTCCCATCTGCCATACGATAAATAAATAAAAAATATTCCCATTTATACAAAGTAAAAATATATTAATTGTTCGAAAATATATCGGCTTAATATTAGATAAGTTACACGTACACCTGAGCACCAAAAAATACGTCTTTTAATACGAATATAATTCAATATAGAAATTGTTTTTATATAGTCAATACTAGGTATAGTTTTCTAGTACTAGAAAATTCCTATTTATTTTTTCTGTATGAGTCTGCATAAACATTTCTTCAACTACTGGGTATAGCGAAAATGTAAACCTAACCTTCCGCAATCACGTAATAAAACTAAATAAAGTATAATTTTCCTAAGACTCACAYGAATTCTCTCAGTAGAGCCCAGTATTAATCTATACTAATATTAATATTATCATTATTATTATCAAGTCCATAAATTTCACATTAATAAATATGTTTTTCGGGTTGACATAAATTCATTAACAGTACAAAATGTATGGACAGACGTACAGTAGTTATTATTCAAACATGAAGATAAAAACTTGTTTAAAATTAACTTTTATCTTTTTATTTTAAACTTAATTTTAATATAGGTTTATCAGTTYGTCGAATTTGTCTTTGGGTCCATTCTGACTTCTAGGATTTTAATTGTTGTTGTTGATTGATTCAATTATAATTTACGATATTATTTACAATATTTTTACCCAGTCTTATTATAATAGGGTATCATTGTCTTTTATTGACATTAAATTAATTAAATTTATCTTAAATATAAATCTAAATAATAAAACTAATTACTATTTAACTTCTCAATCAACATTTTGTTAATTTAAAAGCCTTTATATAGTTAAAATCAATTAAAATGATGACTACTTGTATTATATTATTATAATCTTGATAAATAATATTTCTTATGAGTAACGACTTGTTGGATTTAAAATATTGTATTAATAGTTAAAGCTTGGAGCCTATCGTTTGAGAATACATTTAAATTAAAGTGGGGTGGAAAATTGTAATTTCACTTGTTTTTAACCTCGCGATGGATAGCAAATAGACTAGCATGATATAATATTAATAACATAATATTTTTTATATATTTAATTAATTAACTACAACAGATGGAATACATCAATACTGTGCAATTGAAAAAATATAATGCTGTAAAAACGCATAATTGATTGCCTTATTCCGTTTTGATGGAACTTTGAATTTGAATTTCTCAAAATCATTTTAAAAAGTTTGTAAATACCTAGTATGTATTAATATAACATGATAACAGTATACACCAAGACTTGATAAGTTACCGATTTTTTTAGTTAGCTTGAATTCAAACTTTTTAACAAAGTTAATTAAATTTTAATTAAAACTTTGTGTACATATATGTTAGGGTTAATAAATAAACTGTCAGAAAATGTGGTTACCCGTAAATACGAAGCAAAAAACATACCATTGTAAAACCAATACTTCCTTCATTCAAAAAAAAAATCTAAAAGAACATACTTTGGTAAATAAGATTCAAATATTTTAGTTGTTAMATATTTTTAAAAATATTACCGAAGTCAGCAGTTAAATACAATTATAAATAATATACTTAACTACTACYTACTAAAATATTTTTTTAAACCGTAAAAAAATAAAAAATGTATGTAGTAAAAATATAGTTTTACGATTTATATTTCAAGGTGCTAGATTAATTGTTATCATCTTTGATTATCGTGACTTAGTTTAATTAAACGTTTCAGTTTGATTTGTAAATACAGAATTAATCATTTTGTTTAATATCATCAATAGAGGATTTTATCTTATTACTATTTGCAATTATAAAATTGGCGAATAAAAAATTATCAAAGCATTGGTTTTTACTCATTTTCATATATTAATTTGAATATATCAGCTATACCCTATTCTTATCCAACTTCAAGGTGTAATTTTAGTGTATTTATTCGGTTTTATAATCAATGGTATACCAAATATTTGTAGCGTATAATACCTTCAGAGTTCAGATTCTCTGAAGCGATTTTTTTTCTTTTATAATCATAATTGTGGACTGCTTTACAGAACTTGGGTAMTTGATACATGTTTATAAAAGTAATGATGTTAAATTCTAGGGATTAAATTATTGAATCATTTTTAAGAAGATATTTATAGGCATTTAATAATTTTAAAACACTGAATTTAAATTTAAAATTTATCATAAAACACATAAATTACTGAACTAATAAAAATGCCTTGGATTCAAAAATAAATCTTAAACAATAATTATTATACTGAATGATATATATATATATATTATATATAATCTATGTTAAATTAAAATGTAATATTGATTGCACTGTTTGGAAACTCCAATTTTAGCAACAAGAGGTACAAACTCAGTGGTTAATTGGGACAAACAATATTTATCTTAATTCTTTTTGTATTCAACATATGTACATATTACAATACTCATGAAATATGAGTATAATACTATGMAGTAATATGTACTATCTCTATTTACTATACGGTGTCTTTGGATTTCTGGAAAACACTTTAGAACGCCATGGTAGAAAAAGGTCGAGAACTTCTGACATAATAGGTATCATCAATCAGCGTGGTCAGTATAAATGAAACGTATTTACAAGGTATTTCAGAAAGTTTTTTGATTACTATTTTTACCACTATTTTTACCACTATTGCATAATATTATGTATGATTATTACAAATACTATAMAAATATTTTGAATAATCATTGATTAAATGATTTACATTTATATTTTAATAAACATAAACAAATTATATTAGAATCTTTTTAAGTAGATACTCAGATTTGTTATAAATTGTTATATTTTGTAAATATTATTGACTAGTAGATATATATAACCAATAAATTTCAATAATATTGTGTAGTTGGCTATCTAGTTGTTTCATAATATGTTAAATTAACCAATATTTTTCTTTCGACAAATCAAAAATCAAAATCCAATATTCGGCTAACAATGATGTACCTTATAAATAATATATGTTTCTTATAATRCAGTGTTTTAATATTTTATTGATGTAATATTACTAAATTATATTTTAACCGTTGATATGTAAGTGTGTACAATTTGTTTCGTATTGTTTTAAAGCATCAACAATTGGACTGACTGAATAATGTCCAAAGCATATTATTTWTTACTCGCATTTGAATAATTATATTTTGATAATGGATTTCATTAATTTTATGTCAAGAATAATGAGTTTGATTTCAAGACTTAGAGTTAATGTCACGTTAAGATAATAATCCATTATGTGCATCCAGGTCGTCYACTGTTTTAAATTGTTTATGATATTAATAACTTTTAGAAATGTATGTTGTACAGTTTTAGAATTTCGTAAATGAAATTCTAGCAAATGCTTAATATTTTGACATATTTTTTAGTCAATGAATAAAACATTATGTACCTTCCACTATTTARGGAAAAATAAACATAATATAGTTRTGTGGAGTATCCAAATATTCATAAGTGCAAAAAAAAMAAAAAACTTTACCTACTCATTTATATTATAAATTGATTAAATAAAATATATTAAAATATCGGTATAATATTATATGAATGTACACAATCCAATAATAAAATAATGTAAAGTACAATTATATTACAGTAGTTATAATTATTGATGTATTATACTGGATAATATCCTCCATATATCATGACATACTATTATACTCAATAGGTATGCTGAGGCATAAAAATACATAAGATATAAGTCACAAAGCATTGTAAGTGAATTATATTTTTATCCACAACTCATAAGTCTTGACGACGCATATTATATATCATTATTCATTATATAGGTATTTTATACATTGTTTCGGTCTGGTTCATTTCGTGTATAGAAGAGTGGAGTCTAACTATAAAAATTCTTGTGTAGACTGTGAGCACTCTATTTTTTCATAAATATAAATTTAGCTTTTTTTATTTATACTACCACTTACTTCAATCGTATTACTGAATTGATTACTAATATGTTTGTTAAGACCTATAGTTTGCTTGTTATATTATATAATGTATGTTATAAATATAATGTTTTTTACTTTATTGGGTTGTATATCCATCAAATAAATAAATATAAAATATTATATTGCACATGCCTCTGACTACTTATTGTATGGTTTTAAATTGATAAAGTGACACCAATTTTAATCCCCCTTATCTTAAATACAGACGTAAACAATTTTATTAATTTTTCATTAAGGACAAAAAATTTTCAATTTGCATTTTTGTGTCAGTAGATAACACCATTTAAATAAGATTTGGGTTATAGAGGTTTCTATTTTTATTTAAATATGATTAAATAAACCCGGCAACGGTGATTCTTAGAACAACTGAATTTATAACTGGATAACATAATTACGAAATCTTAATTGTGGACTGTATTATATCATATTAAACATTCACTCCATTGAACGGTGTCACGCTATATTCAATTTGTGAATTATTACCATCGTTCATTAGTTCTACTTATAATCTTGAGCAAATAACTAAGCTTGTATATGTATCACGTATTCACGTTATTACGAAACATTTCCATATTATATTCGTTAGTTTATTGATAAACTCATGAACCAATGTACCGAAATTGCCTATATACTGCGCCGGCTAATGGCTTAAATATTATCATGTAACATTATAATTAATATTTAAAAAAAAAAATAAGGAATAACAACTTAGCAATGTCTTTTCTTTTAAATTTATTATCGTTATTTAATTAAAAAGAAAAAAAGTACACACATGGATGTATAATAATGTATATTGAAATTACGCTATATCAATTTATACAGTTCATAATAATATTATTATCGTTTAATATCGTTAGTTAAAATATCATTAGTAATGTTTTATTTTATTTTTCTATATCGGTGCGGAGAGTCCAATACATTTTTTTTCATGGATCCGATAACACGCACGTAGCCACTCGTATTTATAATTTAAACCATTCGAAAAAATATCTGCGTGCCTTTTTCTATGCATAATTTATATATTATTAGCACACGACGAGATATTTTATAGCATGATCAAAATGAACCGAGAAATCGGAACGCACTTTAATACTCGTCTAAAATAAACAAACTCATGGTGGTGGTGGTTTCTTCTACTACGTGGCATTTTACACCCATCACACAGTACAATATAATAATCAAACAATARCAAAATGAATTCCAAAGTACGCTGGAGGACGAAAGAAAGGATATGTTGAATCACAAGTCTTTGAACCTCGTGATGTAAAAATAGTCATGCCCCTGCACACAAGTTGGCCTCCAAATTTCTATGCTTAACGTAAATGGTATATAATTTATTAAAATATCTAAATGATAAATATCACTTTATTAAATAAATACATTTTTTAGTAAGACCGTACACTGTAATATAATAATGTGGACGCTTCCTTAATGCGCACTACCTTTTAAAATATTATTTMAATTTAAATGTTTTTTCTATACTGTTATTACAAAATAATGTATGTGTACAAACACTGCTATGTATTATTTAGTTTTATTATTTAGTTTTTATGATCGATAAGAACAGTTGAAAATTACAATATTCATGGTGCCTACCAAAAATTATAAAACTAAAAATATATTAATATCTATTATCTATAATTTGAATTCAACTTAGGTTTATAAAAAACTATAACTATCTGAACAGTGAACATATTTATTTATGAATATTTAAGTATGAAAAGTGTTTTTTTTGTCACGACTTGGCTCATTCAATTTTCATATAGGTTTTTTATTTACAGATACTCTGTGGAGTAGATTTTAAGCATAGTTATATGGACCAAACTTCTGTTTACGAAAATTGACAGATAATATAGTAATACATCAGTGGCACCATTTACTACAAATGGTAAAACTTTTTCAAAATATATAAATTTGAAATGAGTTTTTTACTAACGTAAACTCAGAAATTACTGGACCAATTTCAACAAAACTTATATCAATAGATTCCTTCAGACTAGAAATATGTTTTWAGCTTCTTTTTCAATCCCTTTAGGTTACTGACTAGGTGGCTCCACATAAATTTCGTTTTAGTTAACTGCAAAAATTGAATATTTTTTTACCTTAGTATATTAATAGGGCTGCTATTGGTTATAGAAATATAATGAGTTGATATGGGTTTTTTTWAAATAATTAGTGATTAGTATTATTTATAATTAAATTCACATAAAAAGGCAATTCATATTATATGCTTGTAAATTGTTAACATAGACACTATAACTCGACTGGTTTTTGCAAAAAATTAAGAGATTTTTCTTGAGATATCAGTAAAGTATAGAAAATTGTTTGAACCACGTTCGAAAATATACCATGCCCTATATTCGATCTGCCATAGCCTATCTTGGACGAGATAGTACACAAAGCGTCGAATAGGGAACATTGTGTAATATTTTATCCTTGTTCGTTATTATCAAAGTCTTTGTTTATATAACAGCATGTATACATATAATACAATATACATAGTAAAAATATATGTTTTTGCACATTCAAAACATACTAAAACATTTTAATGATTAAGTCATTATATTAATATATTATAAATATTTTTAAATTATTATTTTATACAATATTTTAATGTTGTTTATATCGTCCAGTTCGATATTGAATGATTTCATCGTACGACAAAAATATTTCATATTTAATGCGTTTTGCATAGTTGTATAATATACCTAATATGACACGTACTTCAAATTGCTCTGAAGTAGAACAACGACACAGTTACCTATATTCTCACGTATATAACAAGGATATACACGACACCGTGGACTTTTGGCGCTCGTTGCCCCAATGACCGCCAGCGCATAATTTATAGGAAAACGCCGCCTAGGAGATATTTCACCCCGCGATATCCCTGCAGGGACTTACGGCCAGCGCTTAGTGGCGGGCACTCAGCTCGTATAAAATGAGATCGGGCTATTCGATACGTAGGCGAGGTAACGAGTAACCAAAGCCGACGCCGACGCCGACGCCACTGACACCGGAAGGTGGTGGGTATATGCTCTGTGCTGTGACGATACCCCTGGGAAAACGTAGGCAGCTAGGTACCAACCCTAATTACTTCAGTTCCGACGCCACCACTACGTTCGACCATCATATATATATATATATATAGGTATGCTGACTGTTGTGCAAGTTACCTATCCGCCATGGTATAAGGAGTATATTATTATTATTATTATTAGATTATTGGGACGGGGCCAGCTGCTTGAGTGTGCTTGAACGCCTCAGACATCAGCTTAAATGGTTGGCCGATAACACCGTGGACAACGAAATATCGCCACGGATAAGGGATATATCGTGTACTCGTGTACTCTGTATATACTTGAATACTTGATGTGATACGGTCCGCCGGGTAGTGTATTATTATTTTACATTTTCTCTAGTCTGTATATGTTTAAAACTTTTTGTTATAAAATCACGTAATCATTTTGGACATTTCGGACTCATTGACTGTTCGTTTGTCATCAACGAGCTATTACAGTGATTTTAACTTTTTTTTTTTTTTGCATTATATCAGTCTAGTTTTCGATCGATTTAATAATATCAAGTTGATATTATCAATATATTCACTTAAAGGAAAGGGCAAATACGTTAATACGCTATATACCTCGAAATACTAATAGATAGTGCTTACATTGCCATCGGCGTTGGGTGGCGCGGTAAAGGCTGCGTTACAGTGATGTATTATTTATTATAGTTTATAAAAAGTAAATACAACGGAAATGCTGAAATCAAATTCAGACAATTTAATAACATTCCTTAGTAGGGGTACAAGTGTTTATTCATAATTCGTTAAATTCGTTTGAAACTTGTAAGAAATATTCATGAATTATGATATAATACGACAGTTAAATTATGTATTTATGCTGTATTTGTTTTTAGCTATACACAATCTGATGTGGTCTATGTACATCATGCACAGAAACGTGGAAAAACACGATCAGCGTTACCCACGTTCACTGAGGGAACTACCATCATCCTCTGTCTATTAATATAAGCTTCTAGTTCTAGGTCTATGGTCAATACTGAAAAAAGACATTTAATCCATAGAATTTTATTATGATTAAGATAATATGATAAATTTCAGTAATGTATAAATCGTAAAAAAGAAAAATTACCAAAAGCAATTAGGTAATACGTCAACACTTAACTGTTTTCTTTTGTTCCAGAACATTGCTTATTTCATTTCATTTTTATGTTTCAATATATTGGTTTGTGTTGAATATTTCAAATTCAATTAAATACAATTTTACGATTGTCGAATAAATTCATATAGCCGGACAAAGAGTTCTATCGCTTATCAATAAATGCTATTGCTATACAAATATTAATAAATTGATATACATTTTATTATATACAGACCTAATAATAATTATTTGTCGATCCGTGTTATAAAAGGTTTTATTTTATATTGTATTACATTCACCCTGAGTTCAAAAATAATTAAATATAGCAATTACCCTCTATTTATTTCGGAGTTACGTAAAATCCCCTAAACTCGGCTGTGTAACCACAAACACGGATTATTTCAACACTATATTTACGCTTAATACGGTTTCACGCGCATATAATGCCCATACTACAGCATTACGGCGGTGGAAAAACAGTACGTGTCGCGAGCACCAAAGTATTTGATATAATTTATTTCGACAAGTACATACTTGTTCCTTTTTTTTTTTTTTGTTTTTATAGGCTTATAAATTATCGTTGAAGTACGTTTATCGTCTACGTTCACACGCATGAGCCTGGTGAAAAGTCTTCGTGATGTTTTCGGACGTTCTTTCGAGTATACAACTGTACCTAACCTATGCTAATACACTCTAATATTGTTAATCCCCGATGATAAAATTAATTTAAATATGTGTACCCCTGCAGACTTGTAAGCGCGATTAGGTGAGGGCTAGGGAGGCTTAGCTGATATATATTTAATTATATAAATAAATAAACAGGGCCCTTGATTCCTTTTGATTTTACCGGAAACGCCTAATAATTACAATATTTCTATTGTTAGGAGGAGTCGAGGATAAGTCAGGTTAAACTAAGCACCACTTCCCAATGTCATGTTAGACACTCACCGTCAGGTGTATGGCCGGTGGCAGATGTGGTTTGTCACCCGTACACTCTTGGAATGACGAGCTTCGACTGCGTCGGGATACTTGCTGGATTAGCCGACGTCGGCGGACCATCACAAATGCCACTGATGCGCCGGCCAGTATGGTGGCCGCCGATAGCGCACCCACTAGCAAACTTATCAGTCGGTGGCCGCCACCACCACTACTGCCGATTACACCATCTTCCCGATTTTTGGTGTGTTGAGGCAAACCTGAACAAAACAATAATGATAATAATAATWATTATTATTTTTTTAAAAATATTTAATAACTATTATTATTAAATAGGTAATAATAATAAAAAAGTTTTAAATATTCAAAAATATAAGCAAGATTAACGTTCGGGACACCTGTGTATTATTTTATAATATTTGAGTACACAATATGTGCACTCTCGATAATAATAAATAAAGTGATAGGCCATAGAATATATTTTCGAGTTATATTCATAATTTCCCATGTAGAGACGATAAGCTGCGAGTATAAATATATAACTACAGTGTAGAATATTTATAAATAATCCATAACCACTGAAGTCTCAATCGGTGTTGGGGATGAAAGAATATAATCGGAGTAAAAACAAATCCGTTCCATTAAAAATCTAAATAATCAGATAATTTATATTTTTATTGGTCTTTTTCTCGGAATGAAAAATATGAGTAGTAAGATTGAAATAATAAAAAACCATTGAAATTCTTCGACATACTATCAATACCACTAGGATATAATATGATTTACTCAATACGTTCTACACTGAATTATCTAGAAGTTTATGGAATAATGKAATGAATTCYTAYTGTGTCATTTTAATATATAATATATAATATAGTTTTCAGTTTTCCTTTTACTCTCTAGTTAATAGTCATTAGTCATGGCTGCATGATAATCTAGGCAAAATTTGTTTAAATTTAAAATAATTATAGTAAAAATTAATTAAAATAATTAATCAATTAGTCAAGAGTCACTAATGGGTGGCTGCTTAAATCACGCCTGTCACGTATCATGTACTATTATCATATAAGCTTATTGTGCAAACTGCACAGATTGTTTATTTCAAAAAAAAAATAAAAAAAAAAAAAAAATTTTAAATATCAATACTACTTAAAAATGCACAATTTATTGAAAAATATTGAAGGCAACCCTTATTAAATTAGCAAGACTTAAGGTAACTGTTTAAACATTTATTTAAACAATTACGTACAAAAACCGTGGAATTTCATTACTAGTAGTAAGTACAGATTACAGAAGAATTTAGGTTAAATAATCAAAAGTGGGCAAGTGAATGAAAACAATTAACTTGAGTTAGTTAAATTTAGTCTACATTAAAAACGTTAATATATAAGTTAGAACTTATTATAGTTAGCAAACTATATTATGTTCAGCTATAAAAGTTTAAGGTTTTATTCAATATTTACTTAACTTAGTAAGTTTCTTTAGATTACTACCCTGGCCATAAATATATAGGTAGTGATCCAACTTCACTTTACGTAATTAACTGTATTTTATGTATTTTTTGACATATTAGAATCGTTTCGTGCTATATTTATTACATCAGAATAGCGAGCACCAAACACATATTCTACATCATTCAATGTTCTTCCGTGAAGAGAAAAGAATATCAGATTCTATTTATATTGAATTATTTTGTCAATGTTTAATGTTTATTTGAGAATATTTTAATTTTAATTTTAATGAAATATTATAATTTATATTTATCGCGGCATTCCAAAATTACGCGTGACGTTATTACCCCAGCGACCAATTCACAGTGTCTAAATTACCGCGACCAATTTACGCGACACCAATTTAGTACCACCTAAGCAAATAATATGCAAAAAAAAAAATAAATAAGAAATTAGGAACGTGAAAGTTTTTCATCTGCTTAAATCACATATATTATTCATAGTTTTATAATTAAACACCTACCTAAATGCAATCGAAATTTCCGTAGTAAAAGTAAAGTAAAAAGATTGTTGAAATGTTATTTAACGAAATTGTTTCATAATTCATAAGAGGTATAAAAATTTGATGAAATGCGCACTTAWATAAAGTCATTATAAATTGAGGCGATAGTATAAATATATAAAAGTACATAAATACAATCATGAATATATTATCTATCCATAGATAGCTAAGATGTATTGGAGTACGCGACTTAAAGTCCACACACGTAATGTGGTACGATCATAAGTGATGAACAATATTTTATTTGTGGTATAAATTATACTACCAGTGCTGTTATTAACAGCACAATGATCGATGAATTATTTTGTTACGCAGAATCTTAATTAATCGAGCTTTACTAATTTTTATAAGTTAATGTTTAAACATAATGTACTGAGATTACTTCTTACTATAGACGTTTTAAAATATGAATTTGTAAATAATAACAAAGCTTTTTTCTAGGAGGTTCCTAAGATATACTTATTGAATACTTACTTTTCAGCAAATATAATTATTTTTATTTATRACTGAGAATTTGTATTATTTGCGTTTGCGTGCGTAACAATAATATTTGAGACATGTATATATTAATATATTATACGATAATATTCTGAAAGCGGGGCGGTGACGTTTGATGCAGTATGTGGGATGAATCAACATATATGTATATGTGTGCCTGTTTGGCAGTAGAGGAGAATAGAGAAGTGAAATATATTATAATAAAAAAAGAGAGATAGAGAAAAACGTTTAAAATAAAAGTCGTTTGAAACCGTAAATACAGCTATAACGTTCCGAAATGTCAACCAGGTGAACTGTCCTATAAGAGTGTAAAAGGGGGAGCACACTGGGCACAGGGGGTTGTTTTAGCATCTCTGGTGACCCTAAAGGATAAGCTACCGGCACACGAATCTGCTAAATTATTGCAGATCCGTTTAAATAAATGGTCTGAAGGTTCTGTAAAAAAAAAGAAAATCAGCGCTTTTGGTTTGTATGCGAATATCGTGTACTATCTTTGAACGCATTTTTCGATTCTCGAACGGGGATGTTAGTTTTTGAATTCTGATTATTATTCAGCTTGTTTATTATTRTATTATTTTTTTACATCGTTAGAGTTTGTAAAAAAAAAATCGAGCGGCTTACGAAGGAATAATAATAATCGAGAACCATTTTTTTGTGAATTATGTTAATTTAAGTCACAGAAAAAACAGCATGATGGTAAAACTCGAAATTTAAGTTGATTGTATAATGTATATGGTATGCATACGCATCAGTTCATACACAACATGAATTAAATGTGAAATTTATGTACTGTCGTAACTTATTTATTATAACTTGTTAATTTGTTTTAGTATTTTAGACAATGTTTATTATGCTTAACAAATATGATGGGTGATGGGTGTATTGATTTTCTGTCATAATTGTACAACAAAGATAAAAAAAAAAGCCAACGCCACATTTAGAGCTATACAGTTTTTATATTAATATATTTGACCAAATTTGAGTTAAATTTATTATATTTRMCTGCAATCAGCATACAAATTTATTATTATACAATGTGATGTATAACATAATACAAAAATACATATTTCAATATAATGCGGTACATAATACTTGGTGAATATAATATACTAAATTTAATGCAATATTTGTTGGTAAAAATATACGTGGGTTTCTATGAATAAAATGTGTGTGCATACTGCATAGGTACATATATCTTCATTTTTTACTATGAATTGGTGCCGTATAAGTCTTCATTAACATTTTTATAGCCTCCTTGTTTAGGAGGAAACTGGAAGATGGAAACATTGCAAATACTATCTTTTCGTTTAGTTGCATAATGTTTAGATGCGCTATGGTACATGTTATAAATATTTTATATGGTTTACTCGACCATAAACTATTGGGGAATTTCTCTCCTCGAATAATATTCACATACATAGTGTTTTTTTTTCTTTCTTTGCTTGGACATTTTTTTCGCTTAAACCGATAAATGTATGGATCTTAATAATTTCAAAGWTCTAATTTAGAAATTCTTTTCGAAAATACTTGATTTTATYATAGTTCAATCAAAATATTATAGCAAATATAGATTTTATATTTAAATTTGATACCTTCTCTCCGAGTATTACTGGAAACAATAAAATACTTAATAAATTATATGCGTTCATATTATGATTTTTTTTTTTTATATGTAATATTGTATAATATTTGGTATAAGTAATGATTAACACATATTTGTATAGGTTTTCAGTATTTCTTTACGTATATAGWGTAGAATATATAATGTAAATTTAATATACAGTTTACTACCATTTGGAACTTACCCTAAATAAATTGAAGAGACTAATATTAGCTTTGTTATAATAATAAAATTATATTAAATCGATGTTAAAAATTCAAATATTTATAAATTTATAATTTTTTTTAGGATAAACTGATAAAAAGTATTGTAGTGAAGGTTTATACATGATAAAAATCTCAAAGATGATCAGATGGTTTTCAGATTGTTTTTAGATGGCTTGTTGTTGTTTTTTAAATAGGCCTGAGTTCATTAAAATTTTCAAAATATATTTTATGAGTAGGTATTGGTGCTGATTTCTCATCATATGGATTAGTTTCAAGTTTATTTGAGTTAATATCGCGTAGTAGTGGTTGAGAATATGAGTTAATTACTTAAATAGAATGCGCATAGCATATGCAAAACGCGTATGTGCCAATATATTTAATTTAAATCATCCAAAATAATTTAAATTTGTTTCGACACGGTTTCGAAAAATTAATTTGACTGGACCGTTTAATATGTTCATTTTAACAAAACACTGTATAATGTGCACAGTGGCGAATATCTATTATTATATATTGGTTCGATAGTTTTCATCCGTACTTTATTATAGTAAAAATATATACATATTATAACACACCTATATAGTCAAACACTTAAATATATATACATAATGGATAATGTATATAATATAGTACCTATATATGGCCTAGGATTATATTATTATATCCGATATTGGGGTCACGAAAACGCGTATATTCACCGACACGGAGTAGTATAATATGCAAAAATTACGACCGATAAAAKTTTTTAAAGTATTAAAAGCTATAAACATTAAAATATATATCAGATGAGGGTGTATATATAACGTTTTCATATATTTATTGATTAAAAGAATGGCGAAAAGCTCATAAAGATAACAAATGTATATCGACACTATAAATGGCGAGCGAACCGACCGGTCGCGTCGGAGAACAACACTGCTGCAGCGTTACGTGTATTATATTATTATATTTATAATATGATACAGCGCAAAAGGCCTACGCGCGCGATGACGATAATCTMAATCATTCCATTAACAATAATACAATTCGTAAGTATTAAAATGATTTATACAATAAAGCGAGCGCATACACGCGTATAGCTACATTTTTCTATGTATGAACGTATTTATTTTTTTTCGTCGTAATACGATTTATCACACAAGAGCCGCCGTAATTGGTTTTCCGAATCATATAATAATATATAAGCACGACGCGGTAATAATGCCCTCGCAACGGTCCACCTTAAACTCGTCTATTTTACTATAGCGTTTCAAAAACGCATTACACTCCGATCCCGAGGAGGAGTACCCAAAGGAGTTGTTCCGTTATATTACAGTAACGCGTACCCGTGAAATAACAATTCAGTAAACCCTGAAATTTAAATTACGGACACTGCCCCGGCTTTGTAGCTCAGCAGTAGTATATACATTTGTCTCGGCTCGAGTTTGTTTCTGCGGAAATGTTCAGGCAAATCAAATAGTAGCGCCACAACGGTATATTATTACTACACATTTCTACCAAAGTAAAATCCAAAATGTATTGCATTGTTGTGTGCGTTATATTGTTGTACGTATATGCAATATGTGTACCACGCACGTACCTACGCATTTTATGTGTATTTTATATAATGTTAATACTTAATATCGGTAATAGCATTGTGCCCGTCGTTAATAAACTCTGCACACATATATTATTTAAACTTGGCTATGATATCTAAGTGTATTACGCTGTACATATTATACGTAACGTATATATATATATATATATATATAATCCACATGTAGACGAGTACCGCTCCGATTTCCTTTCCTTTAAAATACTACTTGTAGAAAAAATTGAAATCAATCGAAAAGAGTTTATTGTTGAGCGTGTTGTATGTAATGCGCAAGTTAGTTAATTCATTGTTATTAGTTTTTAATTCGTAGATATATTATATTGCTCTTATATGTACCGACGACCCTCTCGTCTGTGAGTTCATTAATTCATTTATTTACCCCTTAATCTAGTTTAATAACTTTCATTTACTGTTTTTTTTTTCTTTTTATGCCAATTAAACTCTTATTTAATCCAGCTTAATTAAAAACTACAATAATATACCTAAAGCCAATAAAATTAATTTTAACTAAATTTATATACTGTYGTTTGTGTTATACATGTATATTTTTTTTCAATTAAGTCGCGATTATATCTGCATAAAAATATAAAAATACAGGGTTTATTATTTAATCTTAATTTGAATAGCTCTCGCTGTAGATGTTATTTCGGCATTAGATTAATTGTAAATATTTAACAAAGTTAAAAAATAATTTCCAAGCCCCGAAAGCTGTGCAACGTTTGAAGCCATATTATAACATGTTTAATGTTCGTCAATAAATAATATTTATATTTATGTGTACATTATGTGGTGCATATTATTATACAAAGTGYATTAGGTATTAAGGAGTGCGTATTTTGAATCAGTGGTTATTTTCAGAATTCAATTAATAACAATAAATTATATATACGTAAAAAAATAGGACTARTGGTGCACATCGTCCAATGTTCATTTATAGAGTAATTAATAATTAATGTAAGTACCTACTACTGATTAATTTATTATATTAATAACTTTTTAGTTTTGTTTGCTCTATATGAAAGGAAAATCTTTTAACTTTCACCATAACTTTGCACTATTCGCTTTTATATTTTTGAAGGATGTGTCACATTGTGTTTTTTTTTTTTTTTGGGTCAATATAATTTGTTTGGTATTTAATTAATTTTTAGAATATGTTTCTGAATTGCAGAACTACAGTTTAACGTATTAAATACCTAATCACAACATTTAAAAATTTAAATTGTTGTTTTTGTATTGGTTAAAAAAATTTAAAACTAATTTATTTAAATACTTTAAAATGTAAATAATTAATTTMTATTCTTAAGCAAGTACCTGGTACCTATATAAAAAATCTAAATAATTTTTTTAACATTTAAACAGAGTTAGAGATAAGATATTCTTCGACCATCATATTYGTCAYGATTGAGTATATTRTTTACTCATTGCATAATATTGTAGTATATTATTTATGATTATGCAGCTGCCTGCAATGTGTCGGTGTGTATTATAACAAGCGCAAACATGGTTAGGTAGTTAATACTATTTATATGTATATAATATTATCATAATGATATTGAAATTAGTGTTAATTTCTCGATAATCGTTCGCCATATCGGTACCGAATGCATTATATATMAATTTGTCGAAATGCGAGAAGATAATTTGCGTTCGGCCTAATCCGTCTTGAACACTGGACCATAATACTATAATATACATTTTATTCACCGTACACAATGTTTCGGACAAAATAAAAATGCGACTTCATTAGTCGGCTTGTTTCGGCTCATTGAAAGCCATTTACCCCGCATACTTTGTATTTATATATATACACGTACAGTAGTGTGATTACTCGCGTGCTCACAGTTCTATTATATATATATATATATATATGTGTGTGTGTGTATATATATCCCGTCTACAGAGCGAATCATTAATCCGATGACCATTGTCTGTTTCGAATGTGCAGTATCCCGGCCCGCCACCATGGTATATTATATACTTAATGTCCTGAATAATTCAATTCAATTAATGGCGACTCCTGTACATTTACACACAACACACACACACACACATATAGAAGTGTGGCTCCGGTCATTCTTCGACCATATTATTATATTATACTCTCGCTAATATGCTCTTTCATATCCTATTTAATGGATTAACGCGCATGGTAATAAAAAAAAAATATGATCGATTTGCGTCACAGTAATACGCGTTGTTGTTTTCAATTCCATAAATACTAAATACGCTAGAGTATTTTTACTATWTATAATTTAATGGGACATAATATTTTTCATTACTTTGAGTTACATGAAATAAAATAAGCTACCTACCTACAATATTATGATGTCGTGAAATAYTTGTTTTCATTGAAATAACAAAGTCGTATTATTATGTAAATATGTAAAATGTGTATCATGTAAGCCGTACCTCAYAGACAAAGTAAACTGTTGTTTTTGGAAAACTTTTAATATTTTCATTAAATAAAAAAAAAAAATAAATACCTCCAACAGGTGTGTTTCTCTCTTCTTTATGGTCGGCCGATTTAACTTCGTCCCTTTGTAATTCGTTGCCTCCGTTGTTCGACTTGACGCTATTGTCGTTCGGGAAGAAAATCGGCTCTTCCGCTTCCTCGGGGGGCCAAATTCCAGGCATTACAACTGAAAAACAAACAAAATATTCCAAAGTATTACACTGTTTAAATTAAAAATATTGTATTTCATCCTTAAACTTCAACGAGCACGGTGATTTAATGTCAGCTGGTGCCTGCGGTTATCAACAATAGCTATAATGTCACTCTAAAGAAAATACTTATATATAGTACTACAAAAATCTAAGAACCATAAGTATAATATAATAGAATAATTATTGTGTTTTATTCTATAAAATATTAGTATACATTCGTAAATTGACAAACAAATTAATATTCTGTACTCTTCAAATTGTCATTATTGTATTATACAATATCGCGTTCAAGATTATATTATTTATGACAATGGCATTAGTTGAGGCTTTCGTTCTATTGGCCCGGWATACAAGTGAATAGTGAATTATTGTGAAACATATGAGAGATACCAGTACAAGTAACGATCCATCGGTGAAGTTGATAAGCATGGATAAATAAACACAAAAATTATTGTAGAAAGCTCGTAATGCAATGTTCAATAAAACGGAATACTCGAATGTAAACAACCGTTAACCAGAAAAGTAGAATTATTTATCTAACCTCACTGAAGTTTAAAAAATGGGTATCAAAACGAAATGAATAGGTATTATGAAGTATTAATTTTTATAGAAAAATATTGGTCTCGGGCTACCTATTGTATTACTTTTTAAGTTACTTTTTCACAATAATTTTTTTTATTGATGTTATTAAGTTTGAAAAATGAATCTAATTATTAGATAATTTTATAGTAGATATGTTGACGTATTATACTTTTTGGTGGGAAACAATTATRTTATTATATTGTCAAAAATGTGGTCTTGAGGTTCAGATTAGTGTTATACAATACATTAATATACAACACTTTTTAAAAGCGTAAATACATTCATCAAACACCGTAATTTGCAATTATGTATATGAAATTGTTTCATTTCAACATTATCTGTATGTACCAAGAGTATATATATATATATATATATTATGTATATATTTTTATTGTTTATTAAGAGATAATATATAGGTATAGTTATTATTTCTACCGTATATTATCATTATAATAATGTGTAAATAATAAATTGAAAAATAGAAGAAGAATATATATATATATTAATAAAGAATTTAGCTATGGTTTCTAACATTATTGAAATAATTTTGAGTGCCTATATAAAACAAATATAAATAAATAGTAAATAACAAAGAAAATAAATTTTTCAATATGTAAGTCTATACGTGATGTTCTTTAATAACTTGGAAAGCGAAAGACACGCGTACATATTATTATATCGATCGGAATATGTCGCCCGATTCTGATACACTGCGCATGGTAATAACAATAATAATATCATTTCGTATAGATACCAAGCTTGTATTCAAATGTGTCTACGAATAGTGCCCGTAAATAATATAAATCGCTTGGAAACGCAAATTTTATCGTTTACTTACTAGAGAGGGTGATTTTTTTTCATGAAATTCATTCATTTTATCACTTTTTTATGTTTTTTATTTTATTTTTTTACTAAAAAATATAATAACTAGAGTACTTAGTGCCAATTATTTGTTCACAGTAAATTCGCAATTTTTAACCCAATATTTTATAAGTTTTATTAATATTATCAAATTGATTTTTTAGATTTTTATTTTTAAATGGTTGAATTGTAACTATTATTGGAAAGCAAATCTTAGTGCATTAACATGTCAATATATATATAAGCATCAAACATTGTACCACAGAGCCAAAGAGCATAAATAAATTAATTATAAAACCATTTCGTGTGTATCTATGTGATAAAAGTGTCAAGGGGAGTGACTACAGTATAGATTTGCAATGACATTTTGTTACACTACACAATATAATACTACCAGATAAATATAAACTAATCTTATTAGTCGTTACTATACGCTGCAGTTGGTAATTTGATTTAGCCAGCCGTTGTGTTCTGGTATTCCGTTGTATTGTTTTTTTTTTCCAGAGAACCTAGTAAGCATAGTGGTAGTGGCTGGAAAAATGAGTCAGCAGTATTTAATAATAAACCTTAACCGGTACGCCGATAAGAAATGTCCAAATCATCGAACAACCCAACTTTTATATCATGTATGTCTGTATGTATATTGCAATATTGCATTATAAAAGTATGCAAATGGGTACGCGCAAAGTTTTAACGACAAAAGGTCGAGGTCGGCGGGGGCGGCTGCAGTGTCAATTTCTAGGCGTGGGATAGAAGAGAGAAAAAATCGGATCACTGATGAATACGTGACTAGAATATTGGCTTTGGGAAAAAATTCACATTCGCCTCACGCCCTAGTGGTAAAAGTAAGAATTGGCGGGGAAAAAAAATGTTGCAAAAAGCAATTTCTCTAAGCTTCTTTTCTTCGGCRGCCATGGCGGCGCGCGGAGTTCATTATTAAATTAAGTTCTTTCCGGTTCCGTTTTAATGCGCGTGCGGAATTCGATTTCTCCACGTTCCGTGTATCACGGTGACGCGCGACGGCGAGATGGTAATAATAATATGCGTCCGTGGTGTATATGACGGTATACACACACCGCTGCTGTGAAACCGGGGTAAATGACGAAGGGGTGTTATTTTTGCCCTTTAACAAGAATTTGACTTTATGATTACATCTTTCCGGCCAATAAAAGCACCCTCTACGGGAAGGGTCCTCTATCCTTTGATACGGATTTTGCTGCTGAGAGTTATTATTTCCACTTCCTGGAAATCAGATGTATTAAAACGCATGTCATAGTCTAAAGAAGAAAGCAATATATATAAATAATCGCAATTTAATATCTCAACTACACAAGCGAGTGCAGAGCGACAATCATAATGTTATATCAAAGATTACTATATGTTATTCATTAAGTCCGTGTACCTGATATTATACTTATACTAGTTTGAAAACATTTTTGATTATTTTTATGTTCATATTTTGTTCATAATATTATATTATAACAATTTTTATACTATTTTTACACTATATTACTTTTTGTAAAATTAATATCGATAAAAATGTATTGTTGGGCAGAAAAGTTTGAAAATTTAATACAAGGCTATTAACATATTGCTACAATAGCAGTTGAAAAATAAAATAAATTCATAGTCTCAATTTTTTTTTATAAGCATTAAAATTTTGAATTTTGACAAAGTACGTAAAAATCACAAAAATTCACAAATTATTTTATGCTAGAAATTCATAAAAAAWTTTCCWTTAAAATCTAAGATTTGAAAATTTAATACAAGATTCCTTAAAAGTTTTTCAATCTTTATCACAAATAAAAAGTCCACTGGAAATTCGAATTAAATTTTTATGAGCATTTGAAATTAAAATTTTTACAACATTGGATTTTCACTTTTAGCGATTTCCTTATTTTGTTGTAACCTAACCTAACCGCAGATACTTGAAATGTTGACTGAATGTTTATATAGGCATTTTCTATATTTGATAAAATTTTCAAAATATTTTGAGCTGTTTACTGACATTTTAATTTTTAAACTTTTTTAGTTTTTTTTTCTTTAAATATCGATAAAAATTTATTTGTAGGGTAGGAAAGCTTGAAACTTAAATACAAGGCTTCTAACATATTGTCACAATAGTAGTTAAAAAATATTAAAAATACATGTGCACGATTTTTTTTATAAGCATTTAAAGTTCAAATTTTGACTAAATACGTAAAAATTA